CTTTCAACCTTCTCTTCAACAGATATTAACAAACCTATCATCTCCCCTCCCTCTTAACTCTTCCAGAAATCCCTTCAACCCCACATTTAATTCTCATCTGTTTCAATCATTAAATCTATAAATCATCATTTCAACTTTTTCTTCTTTTAGCAAAAAATCCTTTTTTAGCAAAAAGGTTTCCAGTCTTTAAAAAAAGCACTTCTTGTTTGCTCCATCACTAAACAGTCAGTTTTGCTATTTCCGTTAGTTCTGACATTTTTATGATCCATTCCTTCATTGTGGGAATTTCAATACTCTTCCATCTTTGTGCATATAATGATCTTGCCGTTGTTACCATATACAAAACTAATCTTCCATGAGTCTTTTTTAATGAAGTATCCATAAGTCCCAATAAAAAAAGTTCTGCTTTGCTTTTGTTTTGCTTTTTGCAGTATTAATCTTTAAAATTCTTTGTATTGTTGTATTATCTGTATTCAAAACTTCTTGGCTTTTTCACAAGTCCACCACGCATGGTAAAACATCCCTTCATGTTTTTCACATTTCCATAATTGACCTGAGGTACCTTTAAACATTTTTGATAATTTCTCTGGTGTCATATACCAGCAATACACCATTGTATAAAAAATTTCTCTTAAATTATAATGAAATGGCCTTTCAGATTGTTCCATGTTTTTCACACGTACAATACAGGGCTCTTCACTGGCTCCCTAACTGAGCCAGAGCCCAGAGCTTTTCAATTACAAACTCCCCAATTACTGTCTGCCCTTAATTCTTCCTACAATCCTGTTCATTTTTTATGATCCCTTGAGCAGGGTCCTTTTTCATATTCTAGTTCCAGGACTGCAGTCTCCAGGTTCCAGACCTTTATGGACTTGGCTCAACAACTCAAGAATCTTGAGGGGGGAGATGGGCGGGGGACAAATTTAATAAATAAATAAATAAATAAAATCTGCTCCCTTCCTCCTTTTATCTCTGTGGAAATTTGACAGCCTTTAAAAGGGGGTTATAAACCTTTTACTTGATTAATGGGTTAGTGAAGGGTCTGGTTATTCCATCTTATTTAGCTGATACTTCCAGGTAAATACCTATTTTAAATTATTACAGACAGATACACACAGACACACACACACACATATTCAGTCGTATCGCAGAACACTGTTTTAAATATATTGTTGTGATGATAATATTTGTTTATTAGGCTCTGAGCTAATTTCATTGGACTGATTTGTAATTATTGTGGGAGTTTTTTGATACCATTCATTAGTAAATGTGTAACAATAACAACAACATCTGAATCTTATCCATAAAAGTGAACTATCCAGAAATAAATGTGCCCTCTTTCTAAAACTGTTCCACCAAAATCTGACACTAAATATTCTGTGATACAGTGAATTTTAAAGCAATTTCTGCCCTAAAATAACAATTTGATTTCTGTTGTATTTAATTTTAGATCTAATTTGCATTGTCCTTTAAGGCAGAAAAATAAAGGAGAAATGTCCTTGTTAATTCAGGTTTTGACACCAGCCTGGTGCCCCTATGAACTGTAGATTTATTCCACAGCTTTTGGTTAACAGATTATGATTGGGCTTCATCTTCTCCTCTATGCCGTTTAATAAGAGTTGTGGGGATCCTGAAATATTGTGGATGTGGTAATGAACCAGATATTGGCTAATAGATCCAGGATTTATCTGGACATGTCAAATGTACTTTTGGTCTGTAGGAGAGCTAATTTGGGTCTGATGTTACATACCTGTTCTACAGAGGGCTGCACAATCCAAGAGGACCATACCTTGCAGTCTGGAAATGCTCCCTGACTTAACCTGGCATAGTGTCTTGCAGGCCCAGTTGGAAGCTATGGCCATCACTCAATTTTGGCTTGTGCGCCTTCTACACATTTTCTTGAATCATTCCAATTTGACCACTATTACTCATGCTTAGCTGCATCTTGACTGGATGACTTCAATGTGCTCTATGTGAGCATCCCTCTGAAAGTTATTTGGAGATTCTGATGTGTACAATAGGCAATCATCTGCACTTGCTTTCTGTTCATTTCCAGGTGCAAATCAGAAAACTGTTGTCAACCCTTTAAGATAGACAACATCAGGAAAGAAACTCCAGAGGAAGGTTAGAACTATATGTTATTGAGATAGGCTACAATAACAGAATCTTGCAACCCTGATGGTGCTTTACCTCCCTTCCCTCTTATATTCCAGTGAATCAGGGAAGAGCCCG